ATCAACCTTATTATATAATTTCCATAATTTTCCATAATAAAGCCTTACATTTTTTACAGCATTTTACAGTTTACACAGCACTTTCACTTAATCAGCTCACAAGCCTCTGCAACAGGATAGTAATTAACTCAATTTTAATCATGAAGATATAAAGATTCAGAGAATTAGAATGGCATCCAGGGCATAGCAAAAATGTGCTAGAACTGGCTTCTGACCCAGATTTTATAACCACAGACCAGGGCTACTTTGTAGTAACCACACTGATAGTCAAGGCCAAAGCTCAGTGACATTCCATAATAAATAATTCAAACTCCATAGTCCGTGTGAACAGTGAGATCACATCTACGCAATAAAAATAAAATGAGGCAATTATTTAGATAGTTCAGCTAAATGCTTTCCCCTTAATACCAAAATCCTTCTCCTTAAATTAAATTTTTTAAAGCAAATAAAATATTGCTCCCTTCAGTCCATATCAGATATCCTAGTCTTATGGCTTATCAAGAATTTGCAGGGTGCCTGGGTGGCTCAGTCGTTAAGCGTCTGCCTTCGGCTCAGGTCATGATCCCGGGGTCCTGGGATCGAGCCCCGCATCGGGCTCCCTGCTCGGAGGAAAGCCTGCTTCTCCTCTCCCACTCCCCCTGCTTGTGTTCCCTCTCTCGCTGTGTCTCTCTCTGTTAAATAAATAAATAAAATCTTAAAAAAAAAAAAAAAGAATTTGCAAAGGACAATAGTATAATGGCATTAATAAGATAGTTTTGGACCAGTTTGCTTCAGACATACTTCCCAATGCCTCCCCATCACACACACACGTACACGCACACGACCTTTTGCAGTTTAACTCTGAGCCTGTACAAGCTAGCATAACGACGAAAAAGAACCAGAATGCCGCCCACACTGGCTGTCTTGTTTTTGCTTGAAAAATTACCCCTAGAACTGTACTTTACAATGGCTGCCAAATCAGAGTCAAATAACTCCCATTTTTCTTGAGGCTTTATCCCAGTCCTCTGAAACAATTTCAATTACACCCAAAATGTAAATGCTATTACTCTTTCCTTGCTCTTTTGGTTGTGTTGATGATTAGCTAACATTACTGCATTAGTTTTGCCTGTGAAACTTTCATACACCATCGTATATATACATAATATACATTATTAATAATTTTTAAAAACTGTATAATAACAGAAAATGAATTTCCTTCTCTACTAATTGTCATATACACTGTATGTGCCTCCAGCCATCCCTGACCAGAAAGAATCAAAAGTTGGAGCTTTCTTATAATCAACATTAATTAGAGCAACTGTAAATAAAGCTTTAAAAACAATTAGGTTCTGATGAATCACAGACCTGTACCCCAGAAACAAATAATACATTATATGTTAATAAAAAAATTAAAAACAAAAAACCCCGATTAGGTTAATTAAAACAGTTTGTAAGTCAATAGATGTCAAATTGAAAGTTTGAAGATTAATATTTACAGCTAGTGCTTAAAAACTTTAAAATATTTAGATTGTTTTTGCCTCTTGCAATATATTTTAACTTATTTTAAGCTCCCTCAGATTTTATATTTGGATATAAATGACAAGTCTATTCGCACGGAAGTTCTTTGGGCATGTGGGCCATAACATAAATATCACTCACACCTTATATAACTACACTTTTTACACGAGAATAATTGGCAGTGCCTGCTCATCATCTAGTGTAGTAAAGGTAATTGTGCATGAAGTTAAAATAATTTAAAACATTCTCAGAGGGCAGAGTGAAAAGGCAGATATCATTACCTACACACGATTACTTCCTGTCTTGTGTCCTGCAGTTACCTGACCCCACTGCGGTCAGCCTCGGGTGTGAGCTTCAGGTCAAAGAAATTTACCAGCTTCATCTGATTGCTTATAGAAAGATCTACTCATTGCCTTCACAGAGGTAATCATTTCTTGTTGTCTCCTTAATTTTGGTCTGCAATTGACCTTACAGTATTGCTTTAACATAGAAACTGATCTGTGAATCCAGAATGATAATTTAGGTTTGATCAGCAAAAGCCCACTTTCTTGATAAGATTTAGTTTTCATATTCTTTATGCTGGTTTAAAATTATGCAGTGATATTACAGAATTGGGGCTTGGGCATATTTCCGTGACGTAGACAGTAACAAGTAAAATGCAAACATTTTTAAGAAATTAAAGTGTCAAAAATATGCATTACTTTGTGCACTTGAGTTTCTAATGGTGCCCCCATATGGACAAATGGAAAATATTTAAATTTATTGGCTTCCCAGACTACTGTCTGCCATTGAAATTATTAAGCCATTGCTTCCCACAATGAAGTGGATCCTTTCCTTTCTACTTGTAACTCCAAGGACTTCATACCGGGGAGTATCACGTGCATCTATATTTAGTAGTAGGATAGAGTATAAATTCCTCGCCTGTCATTACTTGATATTCTATTCATTCATACTATATTTACAATCATGAGGTTTCCTTTTTAAAGCAATGTAAGCAGTGAAATGTTGGTAAACATTTAACAACTGGATCTCCAGGAAAAAGAGGTAGTGTTTGCGGATTTCCATGGTGGTCCAGATACTACCCATGGCTAACTTCAGTCCACCAAAATGCTCTCTCTAGAAGGAGGGTTGAGAAGAGATGTATGTCATTGGTTCTTGGGAGTTGGTTCTAGCTGGTTCCAGTATATCACTGAATTTTAGTAAAACTAGATAATAGGTATTTACATAAATGTTTTTGGAGAATGTCCTAACTAGGTTTAACATTGATTTTATCAATCAACTATTCCAGTGTGTCTCTCAAGTACTACAGAGATAATCATACATAGCATTAGATTTCAGGAAAAAAAAAAACTAAACCAATTCACCTCCATTACAGGTGAGCTTAGCTAGAGTACTTCATATAAATTTCATCTAAATTAGGGACATTCTTTCAGCCATCTCAAGTGTTTTTAAAACATACCACTGAATCAAGTTTATACTCTATTGATGTAATTGTCCACACATAAAAGCAAGTGGGTATATGCAAGAATTTCAAATCTTTATTTAAATTTGAGCTTTTCTTTTCCCAATCTATGACCCACAAATATGAAAAAAAAAGAAAAAATATATACTTGAAAACAAGAGAAAACAAGGTGAATGATGTGATGTTTCTTTTCTAAAATACATTCAAACCTCCATTTAGTGATATGTGCAACAATCAGCAGTTTTGACATCATAATCCAAATGTACTAAACTATTTTATCTTCCTGCAGACAACAAGGGGGATTATTACAAAACTGTTTTCTCAGCACCTTGCTGATTTAACACCTATATAATTCCTGCACCACATTCTGCTTTTATTGAATTCGGTAAGTGTACTCTGTATTTTTTTTTTATCTGAAAAACTTATATATGTGACTGAAAATCATGAACAGAACCTTTTACTGTTACAAGTTTTTCATATATATGTATATTAATCCAGCAAGAAGCATATCTATCTAGTCCTGAAACAGTGTTTACAAAACTTTATTCAAATGAAAGGGCTGTTTGCAGATAATCAGATTTATTGAATTATTTATTTTGATGAAGTTGAAGGCCACTTTCATGTATTTTATTTCTAAAGATGAACTGTAGGTTTACAGACTCCTAGTTTCTCCTCATGGAATCAAAATACTGATATTCTAATTCCAGTGTTTGTTTTTCAGAAAGAAGCACTTTTAAAATGTAATTTCCTATACAGTGTCCACTACCTGTAGATTTATTAGGAACACAATAAATTATTTTTAAAAGAAGTGAAAGAAAAAAATCCATTCTTAAATATATGCACATTAAACTAGTACTATTCTAGGAAAAAAATGATAGATGGAAATATTTTAGTCATAAAATAATTCTAAGAAGCCCATCTCAAACTTAAACACATGTGATCCCTGGAAATTCCTCTCCTCATTTTGGCACATCTAAACCAGTACAGAAATCCTACATTGCTTGGTTAATTCTTGAGGAACAAATTTGCATCAGAATTTAAAGATGGATTTTTGAAATTTGTAACATTACATTGTTTAAGATAGTTAAAAAAAAAAAAAAAAAAAAAAGTCTTTTACCCAATACATTTACAGCAAAAGAGGCTGGGGAAAACAAATTCTCAAATTCTTTGGAGCATATAGAACTTGTGACCTTGAAAAATAAATCTTGCATCAAAAAAAATCTCAATTCTCTCTGAAATCTTTCTAAAATACAAATATTTTATTCCACTGTTTGGTACATTCTAATGGCTCAGATGAACAACTTCTATGTCCTTGTAGCTGTGCTCCTCTCTGAGATGTGAACTGCAACAAGGCTCAACTGCTCTACTACTTTTTCTCCATTTCCATGCTTCATTTCCTTCGTGTAGCTCAGACTGGAGAAAAATCAGCATGTTCTGACGAGCTTAATGCTATGAGGCAGTCAGATGGACCTGAATTCAGTGGAGATTGGAGCTCCAAGATAAATAGACCAGGTGTCAAATAAAAAAAGCAAAGATAGTCTCCTGTATAAATCAGAAGAGATAATAAAAATCAATGAATAGACAGCAACTTTTTTCATACCTACACAAGCATCTCAAAAGGACTGCAAACTTTAAGAATGATTTACGTTTTTTCTTATTTGGAACACTTCATAATTTATTTGCTAAACAACGGTTTATGTCGCCTTAAACCAAATTTTATTGGCTTGTATTGGAGGATTGGGGAGGATTTTCTAAGAATTTATATATTGCTAAATGAAATATATTTGCTACCCAACAGCAATGAAATTCTGCTGGATTCTATAATCTGGCAAGCTAACCGCATCACTGTAAATTAAATTTGTCCCAAGTTTTGATATGCAAGAAGTTCCAGGACTTTTCAATGACTCATCGTGTTCTGTTCTTCTCACTACAGTGCACACTTGGTTCACGGACAACACAGGGCACTACTTACTCATTGAGGTTAGGTGCTTTGCAGGTATCTGAGAGTTGCTATCTATTCACAAACCACTGAGCATTTCATTTTATCAAAAAGCCTTCAAATGCTCAGAGTCTGTGGTTAGATAAGTCTAATGAAGATATGCTTCACCAAGGTGAAAACCTAAACAGTTAAAAATGGAGAGATATTTACAACCATTTTCTCTAGTTAAGTTGAGTTCTCGTTTTCTGTATGGAGTGGGGTTTTTTGCTTTGACTTTTTCTTCAGTACGTTTCAAATTAAGGTTCCGGGGCTATGAGTACAAACTCTCCTGGCCAGTTCCATACATATCTGCAAGTCGTTTAAAGCGAGGCCCCCAGTCACTTAGGTAGTCATAATTCTGATCAGAGTTTGAGCTGATGGAATCTAAGGAGCTGAGTGATTCAGCCACTGAGCCATTTCCTTCAAATGCATATGTCTGCAAGGAATCATAGGGGGGGGCACAGGGATCCACATCAGCTTCTTTCAGTCTTTCCCAAATAAATTCCCGAAAAATGACATTATCTGGGATGCTTTTAAAAGTTGGTCGACTCAAGAACTGAATTTCTGGAGTCACATCCCTCCGAGTCTTGGTATCTCTGATGACGTTGAGATTTCTTAGTGCGGCCATGTCGAAAGCTTCTGTGTCTTCCTCTCCCCCACCTTCGTCATCATATCTCACGATATTTTCTCTGATATCTCTCTCCTCATCAAAAATGAGAGGTTCTTTTTTCCTTCTTCTCATGGTGATGATCAGGAGGATCAACACTAAAACAATGAGACAGGAAAGGGAAAGTTTCAGTAAATCACCAACTGCCCCTCATCATGGTGAAATTAGGCCAATGATCTTGACTTCTTTAAAGGGAAATGAATTGGCCACCCACTTGCATGGGAATTCACAGCAGTAGATGTGCTAAAATTGCTAAAATGCCTTTGAAATAGGACACTTTTATACATCAAGAAACCCTTTTCCACACCTGTTCAGAACTGATGTCTCCCTCTTTAAGGCAACCTCCAAAGTATTTGCTAGAGCATATTGAAGGGCCAGTTCAGGATAAATATAATAATTTCAAAGCTATGCAACACAAAGGTTTTTTTTTTAACTCCTTAATTGCTGGAAAGGCAAAGTGACATTTATAAATGTTTTAGGTCTAATTTAACAACTGCAATTTTAGAAGGAAATGGATTTTAGCATTTGGTCAGGTTCTTTGAAGAAATGCCTTGTACTTGTCTAAGAAACTCTGCTGTTAAAGAAAACCCAGTATGTCAGGCCATATATAAAGATTAAAAGCTTTTCTATAGTAAATTGAATCTCACTTTCAGGATGAAATACTGAACGTGGTCTTTACACATTCTATCTGGAGAGAGAGGTGGTGAGATTTTCAGCTTAGCCAAAGAGAGATTTATCAAAAATAATAAAGCACATGGTAGCACTAGAAAGCTAAAGGACACCAGATTCACTGGCTATTATTTGGGTTTAAACCACCTGAATACACTCTTTGTATTTTTAATAAGTATACATTACTAAGAAAGATTCTGCTTCACTCAGGCTATGGATGACTGTGATGCTAGCTGAATTGGGAACACATCAGATTTCATGGGTGCTTGAATTAAGTTTAAAAAAAAGTATTCTTGAATTTTGGAGTTCAAAATATATAAAGAATTATCTTTACTTACCTTTTTATTACATAAGCCAACTTTTTTTTCTTGAAGATCTAACAGGCCCAAAGGGACCATTACTCTCAGCCTGTTTTTTAAAAGACACTTGAAATATTTATATTTAAAATATAAGGTTTTAGTTTGGCATTAAACATACATTTGAAAATGAAGTATAAAGCCAAGAAGGACATCACTGTAATTCAGAAAAATTAAAAGCAATGACTAGATGAGACATCCTCTACCTCAAACTAAAAAAAAAAAATCTAAGCACTTGATTAAATAATGCCTTTTCTATTGTAATGTTCTGGCATGGGCCTTGAAAACAAATATATAGCTTTGCTGTCAAAATGGCCTTGGATAAAAGTCCAACCTTTTCACATATTAGCTGTGTGATTTTGTGCAAGTAACTCAAACTAACAGAGCCTAGCCACATATGATAATTATAGACAAATGTTATGAGGGTAAATTAGAGAGATTGGGGAATAATGTAAGTAGAATTAGTAGAGTGGCAGGCACTTGTTTGTGTGCCAGAGAGAAATTATCATTGTTATCCTCTGGCTAACCAAGAATGTGAACTCAAAATTTCTCCTCAGACCCAAGCAAAACAATGAAATTAGGTAACAAAGTAGAAGGTGTAGCAAATATATGGCAAGGCATGTGCACTAAAGATTAAATGAGAGAAAAGGCAGTAAGGTGAAAAATGGAGATCTGCAAATAGGACTTATCATTTGGCCCTCAGGATAATTCTCTGGGGGTATGTGTCGTCTTGTTTGATGATGTTTTAAGCATGTGAAACAACCTGCCTATGGTCAATGAAATAAAATGCAATAGGTGGGAATGAAGAGTCCTCTACTTCCATCTGCCCCAGAGCCTTTGCACTTTCTAGAACACTATGAGCCTAGTGCTCCATAGAAGGTAACTGAGATACAAGCTAAGAGCTCAAGTGACAATTTGCTAGTTCAGAGAAAGACACACCAGTAAATTATAAGATATATGGATGAATAACATTTTAGATTAATGTATAAATAGAGCTTCTGAAACTTTTTATACGGTTCCCCCCAAAATAAAAGTAATTGCAACAGAAAGATAAAATACTATTTCCTGAGAAGTCAGGTAGAGAGAATGGAAAGGTGAGTATCAGAATCATGATGGTGGGGGCAGGAATATGAGAAATCTCTCACCCACATTGGAAGCAGAATTGAGGGGGAACAAATATCCAAACGAGTGCAAGAGGATACAAGAAATGAATGGGCATAAAAGTGAATGAGGCTATGAAGAGAGTAAGATATTATGTAATAATTAGATGGGTTTTTTTTTTTTTTTTTTGACACACAGAGACAGCGAGAGAGAGAACACAAGCGGGGGGAGTAGGAGAGGGAGAAGCAGGCTTCCCGCTGAGCAGGGAGCCCGATGTGGGGCTCGATCCCAGGACCCTGAGATCATGACCTGAGCCAAAGGCAGATGCTTAACCAACTGAGCCACCCAGGTGCCCCTAATTGGATGCTCTTTTAATTTAAATCTGTATTTAGGCAAAATATTTCAAAATTCCCAATTCTCTTTCCTTCATATAATCACAATGAATCTTGTCATATATATATATATATATATAAAATATATAATGATTTTTATAGGTTATATTTGTTTTATATGCTATTTTATTTTAACATATAAAACAAGTATTTCTTACATTCTATTGTAAACATATTTTCATGCTACTGATAAACTTACTTTTTAACACTCAAGTACAGTGCTCAGTAAAACTGAAACATGAAAGAACCCATAGGTGTGTCAGCCCTCAGGTTCAGTACCTATTAAGGATATTAATATCTTATAGAGTTTATTTCTCAATCTTGCCTGAAGCTGAGAAAAATGAAGTGTTTTTAACATTTCAATGACTTAGAATATTAATTTCTAACTACATGAGCACATATAAAAAATAAAATTTAACCTTTACATAGAACAAGTATTAAGTGCTCTACAGGGTCTATGGAGATAATCCCTGTATTAAAAAGAATATTTTCTGCTTAAGTAAGCACAAGATTATATAGTTTAAGAGGTTTTTCTCGTATGTCTTTTCTGTCATATGGACGATACTTCTGAGTGCAGACAGAAAAGATTTAGTCTAGACACATGGCACTTATAATGTGTTGGTTGTTCATGAATTTAGATACAGTTAACAAATGTGTGTTAACCATTTATTACAGGCATTCGGTATGATGATGTAATGTTGCACACAGAAGCAGGCACACTTCTCATGGAACTTATAATGAAATGGGCAGACTATTAAATAATGAGAACTAAATGTAAAGGTAGAACTGTGATAATTATTCCCAATCTTTTAAAGGTCTACAGTAGAACAAACAGATCCACACAAGGCAGATTCACTCATCCCTGAAGGCTGATGCTAGGATGGGGGTGGAGAAGTGATATGGAAGATTATACTTGGCACAAGCAAGCGGTTAGCAAGGGTTGGAGCTGACAAGGCTGGGGAGTAAAGAAAGCGGTGGGAGATAACCAATGTGGTTTAAGGACTGCATGATATATGATCATTCTGATTGGACTCAGGATGGGAAGAGAAGATGTTAAGAAAGCAATTAGAATACTACAGCAGCAAAAGCATACTGGGTTAACTTAAATTTCTATTTTAGAATTCAGTTCTTTAACCCAGTATCCCAGTTATGTAAGCAATAGGGCTGGTTATTGGCAAAATCATGAGAGAGGATCCCTGCAGCCAAGCAGCTCAAACGTGGTAGCTATATATTTACAAAGATAAATATAGTATAAATCATAATGCTTTCACTGAGAAAGTACAGACATACACAGGTACAAAGAAGCATGCAGACCAGAAGAGCATCATTCCCCCAAATTAAAAGAAAGAAAAGGGAAGATGAAGAAAAATAGTGTAAAACACGTAGCATACTATAAAGTAGTGGTCCCCTATATTCTCATCACTGTAGTCTGTGACAGATACATATCCATTTTTACTTAATCATCTTGAAAGTATTTCAGTCCCACCTAACACACTTCCTGGAGGTTAACCACAGTATTGGCCCATACAATGAAGAAGCCCCCTCTCCAATAAACTCCCATCATCAAGTGTCTTATTTTCTTAAAGACAGCAGACACTAAAAGTCATCCAGGTTTGCTCTAGAAGCTTCAACATCTCCTTGTCATCCTGGATCCCTTGCACTGGATTTTCTAAACTTGCAAATGTCTGAATTCTCAATATTCAGTTTTGGTCCCCAGAACATTTGTACAGACGTGGTACAAACTGGTACCACTGCTAGATAAGCCTACTTATATTAAAGAAAAACTATTTCCCTTATTTCAGTCAATTCATTTAAAACCACTCAGTCATGTGAACTACCATCAAGCCAGTTCTTTTCCATCCTAAAACTCTATAAAATGTTCTTGCTTTAAATCAATTTGCAAGACTATTTACAAATTCATCACCTGTTAAATATCATTTTGTTAAGTTTAACCTATTGTTTTGAGACTCACCAAAAGTTAAAACCTAAATTTCTTTTAATTCAACATTTTTTTTTTTTTACTGGGCATTGATTTTCTACAACTGTAATCCCTATAAGGTCAGTGATTTTATTCTCCACAGGTATATCTTGAGCACAAAAAGCAATACTTGATAATAAATATGCAGTCAAAAAATATTTGTTAAATAAACTATGGGTTGGAGATATGCAGATAACTCTTGCCATTGTGAAGGTCAATATTTTATATAAGGAAAAAGTATTACATAATGCAACAGATTATATAGCAATATAACACATGCTAGGTAAATATGTATGGGAAGGTATGTTTTGACCAGGATGCTCAGAGACAGTCTCACAAAAGAGATGACATAGAGGTAAGACTTGAAGGATAAGCTATTGTCACCTAGAAACACTATTTTCTCTATGGTCTCTATGAATAATCAGAATTTCTTATTAGTCAATAAAATGGTTTCTAAATCTTCACTATCCAACATGGTAGCTACTAACCACATGTGGCTATTGAGCATCTGAAATGTGGATATCCCTATTTGAAACATGAATCGAGATGTGCTTTTAGGGTAAAATAGACATGTGATGTTCAAGACAATTGTTAAACTATAT